AGGAATTGCAGTGGGATCTGGCTTGTTTGGAAATTCAGGACTTCCTGAATGACCAGCTAATGGCCATTCAGAGTGATCTTGAGCATCAGACCTGGCCCACTGCCCTTGCAAATGCCTCGGGGATACCATCAGAACTGTGGCCCTGGAGACACACTTGGAGATTCTCAGGGTGGAGATGCAGGCACTCACAGTGCTCCTTCCAAGCATACGGGCCGGTTGGAGGGGTGTGGGCCCCCACATACCGAATCTTGCCAGGTCCACTGGGGGATGCATGTGGGATTGGGTGATTCACCGAGACATCTGGGAAATTAAATCACCTGGTGCGCCCAGCCGGTTTATAGTCAGTGCTCCTGGAATAACACCTGATATTTGGATAGGGATAGGAAATCAATGGGTGCTTTGGCCTTTAGAACCCCCACAGCTTCAGTGCATACGAAAGCTGAGACCAGGGGAAGTTGTAACCGTACATGACAGCATTTGTTGGAAAGGAATGGGACAAGGATGCACCCTAACAGGACATTTGCTCTTTCAGGCCAATGATAGCTGTGTACACACTAATACCACCATTTTACAAGACATGCACTTTCATCTCACCACAGTTATGGGAAATCATGTCATTTATTGGCCCGCAGACAAGGTCCTACAAACAGCCCTTAGATTCCAAATACCCCTCGACTGGACTACCCTAGTACCTGACCGATTCCAGAATTTACTTTCACTCATACCAGAGGTCCAGAAAATCTCTGAATTACAAGGTCAAATTCATGTTCTCCAGAATACCTATCAAACTGAGGCACATGCTTTCCACACAGTCTATAGAACATCCCTCCTGTGTACGGATTATGATGTATCGTGTTATGTAACTAAGGCTATACAGCGACCCCATTATAGAGTTATTGCGGGGATATTAATGATTGTATTGCTTTTGCTTATTGTAGGATTATTTTATTGTTGTTATAGAGGATGTACTAACAGAAATAGTTTTCATGTTCATACTAATCCTGTATTACCATTGCAACCAATCCATACATGTGAGGTCAATCCTCTCGATGTTAAAACAGAAATACAATGTTTAATGAATATAGAGATTTGAAGTAGTTGTGCCTAGAGCACAAAAGGGGGGAGTGTGGAAGCAGGACTAAGGGAAAGGGGATTTGGGTGGCCATTTTAGGGTTTGTCAGTAGCAGAGCAAGAGTCTGGTTCACTCAGACTCCTGCTAACGCGAGAGCTAGAAGAGACGCTGTGTTCGCCTTTCTGTCTCTCTCACATTGCTAAGAGTGGAATGCTGACCTCAGTGAGAGCCTTGAGATAAGACAGTGTCCGATGGGAACTGAGTGGGCAGGGAAGTAATTGTTTAATGTTCTATGTAACAGAAAGGTAGATATATTGGCTTTGAATTGTTTTGCATTTGAAGATCCGCTTACGCTGTCTTCCCTTGCAATATTGCTCGAATGAACTGCCTCTGGCTACTTGTTGCTTAAACACAACGCAGAGTGAAGGCTCGTTATCTTGCACACTGGCATTTGATGGCCTAGATCAAATTACTGGATGTGCAGTTAAATGAGCCTTTGATTTGGTAGCTTATGTTGTTGGCTCCAGGGATGAATTCGCTTGTATAGATACGTGGGCAGAGCTGGCACCACTGATTGCCGGGCCGGGTTCCTGGATGCTTATGATGTAGCTGTGTAGCATGGTGACTGGAAAGAATTCGTTTCAGGTTGGGGGGTTGTCTGTAAGCGAGAATGGGCTTTCCCTCAAGGCCTCAGAGTGAGAGGTCATTTTCCAAGATGGGTTGTAGCTTGCAGATAAGAAGTTGGAGGGGTTTGAGTTGTGGACTGCAAGTAATGACAAGTGCAATTCTGTTATTTTCTCTTTTGGGCCTGTCTTGAAGTAGTTCATCTCTGGGTACTTTTTTGGCTCTGTCAGTTTGTTTTTTCACTTCTCCAGGTGAGTATTTCAGTTTTAGGAATGCCTTATATAAATCCTGTAGGTGTTTGTCTCCGTCTGTGGGATTGGAGCAAATCCAGTTGTATCTTAGGGCTTGATAGATTGAGAAATGTGTCTGGGATAGAAGCTAGAGGTATGAAGGTAAGTGTAGTGGTTGGTGGGTTTCCAGTATAGGGTGGTGGAAATTTGTCCATTATTTAATTGTACTGTAGTATCCACGAAGTGGATTTGTCACATGGACTGGTCCAGGTGAAGGTTGATGGTGGGGTGGAAGTTGTTGAAATCCTTGTGAAATTCTTCAAGAGTCTTCTTTCTGTGCGTCCATATGATGAAGATGTCATAGAAGTAGCATAAATAAAATAGGAGCGTTAGGGGGTGAAAGCTGAGGAGACATTGTTCAAGATCAGTTTGTGGTGCCATGCGGGCACCCATGGCTGTGCCGCTGACTTGGGAGATACAAATGGTCTCCAAATTGGAAGTAGTGGGGGGCGAGGACAAAGTCGCAGAGCTCTGTAATCAGGTGTGCAGTGCTGTCATTGGGGATGGTGTTTCTGATGGCCTGTTATCTGTCTTCATGTGGAATGTTGGTGTAAAGGGCTTCTCCGTCCGTAGTGGCCGGGATGGGATTTTCAGGTAGATTACTGATGTTTTGAAGTTTACCCTGACTGGTAAATGCCGGCAGCTGCTCTGGGGAAGAGAAAGGAGCCACTGGGATACGGGCACATTTCTGACCGAACCGGCCCTTTACTATGTGCTATGGGAAAGAGAGTAGATGCTGCAGCATCCAAAGGGGGTTTATTGGCTGTGTTCACCAGAAACAAGCCAATAGTTCAGTCACTACCGAGGTCAGAATTGTGGGGTTACCCCCCAGTTCTATCTCCCACTCCCATAGGGCAAGGACAACACTTCCTTCCTCTCTGGCCCAGAGTGGCACAGCAGGCCAGTGTCCAGAGGAGCCAGTTGGCAGTGCCTGCGGGGGCAGTGGTATAAAACAACAAGGCAGCCTCCATACTGGACCCAGAGCCAGAGCCCCACAGTGAACCATTCTGCAGCGATTCCAAAACACACGAGAGTCAGACTGGCCACAAGGAAGTGTGAGGCACGTGCAACGCAGAGCCCACGGGGTTACTGTGTGAGAAGTGCCACCAGCTGGCTACAGAGCTGAGCCAGCTGCGCCTCGGGGAGGAGGTGTCTCTGGATGGTGTGAATAGCTGTTGTCTCTGTGAGGCTCTCGAAGTCTTGGGCAGTTTTGACAGGCAGGTGCCCAGCCAGCTCACAAAGTGCCACGTTAAATGCAGTTTCCTCTTTGCTCCCAAAGCAGGAGCTCCTGGCCCAGATGACCACCCGGATCCCAGACCGAGCCTGGGAATGGGCTGGCTCCCCAGGAGCAGTTCCCCGGGTCACAAACACATTGTGTGCAATCTCCTTCTCCACCAGGTAATCAGTGACGCGGCAGATGGTGTGCGCCAGGGCTGCTAGCCCCTCTCCCTCGCTGTAGAACAGGAACCCTGGGGCCGGGACCCCCCGCAGGAAGTGGAAGTTGAGCGTGGGGCACAGGGCTTCGCCTGGGGCCGTCTCAATCAGGAGCTGCCAATCCAGGTAAAACCCATGCAGGTGCAAGTGGTTGACTGAGGCGAAGGCTCCCAGGCTGTTAAAGCCAACCCGGAAGCCTGGGTGTGCACTGAGAAGAACCGACTCCAGTCCGAACTGGAGCAGCTCCTGGGTGAGGATCTGAGGCAGGCAGAGAGCAGGGTCTGGAACAAAGAGCACGTGTCCAAACTCCAGAGGGCTGACGTTAATCACCACTAGGACGTGGGCAAGTGTCCTTGGGAGTTCACGCTCCCGCGGGCCCCCTCGGCCCTGAGAGGGCCCCTTGGTGGGAGGGTGGAGCGTAGGGCCCCTGGCCATATGGAAGAGGATTTCCCCTGGGTTGATCTTATTGAAATGGAATTGCTGGGGGTCAAATGTCTGCCTTATGCTCTGGATGGCCTGTGGTCGCCTCCTCTCCAGCCCCCTCTGGATGTTCAGCTGGGCCACAAACTGGACCTTCCCAGGCAAGACGCGGGTCTGTAGCTCGCCCAGGCGATACCGGAAGAGCCCCAGCCTCATCCTCTCCTCCCAGCCAGCCTGCAAAGCTCTGTCAAAGCGAGACAAGGGGTGGCGTGCTGGCCCCTCCGACCTGCTTCTCCACCACCCAACCCCACACAGCACATAATCTTCTTCACCATACACAAAGTCGCGCCAGCCTGCAAAGCTCTGTCAAAGCGAGACAAGGGGTGGCGTGCTGGCCCCTCCGACCTGCTTCTCCACCACCCAACCCCACACAGCACATAATCTTCTTCACCATACACAAAGTCTTCCTGGCAGGACACAGGGCGGCTGCCTGGCCGCTCCGGGG